GGCGCCTGGGGGCCTGAGGTGAGGGGTGTGTGGTCACCCAGGCACCAATTTTGTTTTCCTTTGTGGAGAGAGAGAAAGGGGTGGGGGTTATTTATCAGATCGGATTCTCCCATTTCTGCTTGTGAGAAATGCGTGTTTTGCAAGTCTCTGTGGAGCATAAAACTATGTTGTGCCTGGGTATCTTTAGAGAGAGGATTCCCAGGCTCCTCCTCGCGCCCACAAAGCAGGGTGAGCCCCCTCCCCAACTTTCCCCTTAGTTTTCATGCAGATTTTCTTGGCACAGCCTCCGTCTGGGAGAAGGATTTGGGGAGGGGGGGGGCGGGGATCCAGAGTGTCTTAAGTTGCGCCTAATATAAATGCCTGTGTTTGGGCCTCCTTGCTTGGCGTCTAGGATGTCCCTCCGGTTTTTGTTTTAATGATCCGGTGACAAGGGCCCTAGCTGCGGGGTGGCGGGGGAGGAAGGGTCATGGAATAAGAAAACTGCCCTTGTGCTGTGGGCTGCGTGGTAGTTTGTCTAATGTTTTTTAACCAACCGAAACTCCTGAATCTTCATTCTGCCTCTTTTTTTTTTTTTAACTTTGTTTATTTCAAATCCGCCCTCCTCCCCCATGGGAGAAGCAGCAAAGAATTGGAAAACCTCTCCCATTCCTGACTCAGTCCTTTCTCCTCTGCTGTGGGGGGGCTCCTGGGGGGACAGTGCTGGGACAGTCTAGCCTCTGCCTGGGGCCCTCCGCCTCCCCCCTGGGTCTGGGTGGTTAGCACAGAGCGGTGTGGTCCCTTGCAGGGCTGTTTGCACCCTCTCTTCCTTCTCTGCCGACAGCCCCATGAGTGGGGAGGGGCTGGGGGTCATGTGCAGTGTATTTATGTAAGACACCCAGACGGAGGGCACGGGTATTTATATAACCCGGCATGGGTATTTATGTAATATAGGATGCGGGTATATTTATGTTCCTTTCCTAACCTGCGGCTTTCCTGGTTGCCATGTGTGGGCTCTGATATGGTGTTGGCCACAAAAACAGACTTGGGGCTGGGGGTTGTGTGTCCACACAGCCGTGCCCACCCTCCTTCCCCCCGCCAGCAGGCTTCTGGTGTGTGTCTTCTTTCTTCCTTTTGGTGTACACCCTGGACAGTGTGTATGTGAGGTGTGTGGCATGTGAGTTTCCTGCAAATGTAGAGTGTTTTCTGCTGGCAGCCGTGGCATCTCAGCTGGGACTGGCCAGGCGTGTGGGCAGAGGCCCTTAGTTGAGAGCCTGGAGTTTGGCCAGCCGGGGTGGAGGCTACTTCCTCATGGCCATTGGTGCAGGGCTAGTGGCTCCCTGGGAGCTGGGTGCTGGGACTGGTGTTTCTCCTGGGCAGCAGCTCTTGGCTCCTTGCCTCTGCCGTGGCGGAGAGCTCCAGCCTGACCATCTGTGGAGTAAATCTCTCCCATCTCAGCTCCCAGGTGGGTCTGGCTTTTGGGGGTAGCACTTGATATGGGAAAGGTCAGGGCCACTGTGCCTCCTGGCCCTGGCACAGAATGTCTGTTTTTGAGGTTGGGTGGCCACCACGTGGGGTGGCAGGAACCCTAGGTGAGGTCCTAGGTGAGGAGGCTGTGCCGTTGACGTGCTGCTGGGAGGTGGGGGGTAGGTGGAGTGGTGTCCCTAGACCTGAGTTCCCTGTCTGCAGAGGGAGGTCCCTCTTAATGGTTTTCCACACTGGTCCTCATATAGACAATGAGACCTTAGGGGTCCCCCATCTGGCTTCCTATTTCGTAGCCCACCTTTCCCTGCCCCCTAGTAGCAGAAACCGCCTCCCAGCCAGGAGTTTCCTCTGCTGGCCAGCCTCAGAGTGCCCAGACAATTGCCCTAGGCCAGAGCAAAGGGGTCCCTATCATGGTGGCTTCTGGTGTCCCCAAGTTTGGGCACCCAGGGTAGGGCACAGGGAAGAGGGAAGCTGCCCGAGTCAGCCCCTCTCCGCAGGCTCTTCACCCACCCTGCACAAGCTGGCAGTCAAGAACCTGGCTTTGGGCTCCTCCAGGGCTCTGCAGGGCCCTCTTAGGAGACCCTCTCCTTAGTCTTGAAGGAAGCCAGCCCCAAACCATCCATCCAGAGGAACATGGGCAGAGGGGCCTGCATGAGGTTCTTGGTGTCATGAGGTTGGGAGGGAGATGACTGGGAGGTGGGCGTTGTGGAGCCCCTTTCCTGCCTTCCTTCTGGATTGGGGAGGAGATGTCTCTCCTGCAGGGCACACTGCAAACCAACAGGGTCTGGCTCAGAAAGAGCCCACCAAGCTGTGGAGGGGGAGGGATGAGGGCAGGGGGACCCTGTAATTTCCAAGGCCTAAAGGGGCTGAGGAACTCTTTTGGGACCCTCCGTTTACCTTGTCCTCCCCTCCCTAGAGGTTGGAACTTGGTGGTTGCCATGGTAGCACTCCCAGGATGATCACCTCCTGCATCCCCTTCCCCATTATCCCCTTTGTCCTTAATTTTCCTTTCAGGATCTTGGCCCATGGTGGCTGGCCTGTCCCTGAGATGCTCCTATTGGAGGGTCCCCAAATGAGTGTCCCCCAAGGAGATGCTTGCTTGGCTGTTTCCTCTCGGACCTTGTCTTCAATTCTACCTTCCTGGGGTTCCACTGATACTGGTTCTGAGCCTGCCTCAGCATTCGCCTGATACCTGGTTGCCCTCAGGCAAAGCCAGACCAAATCCTTTCCTGGGCAGTGGGAGGGGGAGTGTTGGTCTCTCAAGTTCCTTGTGGCTCTGCTTGGCCTTGGGTGCGGGTGGGGTGGGGTCCAGCAGTCTAGGTCCCCTGCCCAGCTCCCTATTCTCTGACACCAGTGATTCTGATTTCCTCTGCAGCGACAGTGAATCATGGAGCTCCGTGTGGGGAACAAGTACCGCCTGGGACGGAAGATCGGGAGTGGGTCCTTTGGAGATATCTACCTGGGTGAGTGTTCCTGACTCCAGCTCAGTGGTTCTGGAGCCCCCAGGATGGCCCTGGGGACGGGGAGGAAGAAAGGGGCCAGGATTTCAGGCTCTGAAGCCAGAATTTGGGTCCAGGGCTCCAGTGGCATGTTTTGGTCATTTTGTCTGCAGCGCCTTCCCAGGTGGGGAGGGAAACAGCATGTTGGGGCTGAGGCAGGCTGAGGGACTCCGCACAGTCAAGGTGGGGCGGGGTTCCCACTTGCTGCAGGCTGAGCAGGGGAGGGTATTTTTAGCTCTGGTTTTCAGCTGCGGATGACCTGGGTCTCCATCTGGGTGTGGGAAAACCCAGACTGGGTCAGCACCCCTGTGTCTTGCCTCCTGGGAGAAGGATGCTGGTGGACAGAGAGGCCTGGGCTACCATTTCCTCCCAGCTAGACCCCCTCCCTGTGGTCAGCCCCTGGAAATTCAGCCCAGGCAGTCCTCGGAATGACGCAGGCTCCCCCAGTAACCTTGTGGGGTGGGGGAAGGGGGTTCCTCAGCTCTTAGGCCCTCTCTCCCAATATGCTTCCTGTTGTGAGTCTGAGTTTGCTTCCAAGTTGTCATTTTAAACAACTTTCTGACATCTCACCCATGTCCTCAGCCCTTCGAGTGCACTTTCTCAGCCATCTGAGGGGCACCGTCAGGAGTCGTGGCCCTTTGCTCTTGTTGGTCTGGAAGGGAGATTGTGTGTGGGTAGTCATGGATTGGAGCTGTTAGAACAAGGTGGCCAGCCCCTGGGGTTCATCCTCATTCCTGTCCCTGTGCCCTTGGAAGCATCTGTGCCTCTGTTTCCCTCCTTAGAAATAGAAAACAAATTCTGTTCTGGGCAGAGAAAACCAACCTGTCAGGGTGAGGTGCTCCCTGATTTGGAACTCGGGGTTTCTCTTACCCAGTAGTCTGGGTCTCTGCTTCTTGGGGTATGAGCCCTGCTCCTCAGTGAGCCACATCAGAGGGGACAGGGAGGCATGCATTCTCTGAGCACAGACTTGCTGGGCAGAGCCTGTTTGGATGTGGTCTCCCCTCACGGCAGCCGCTGGGGATAGTGCTGCACTACTCTCACCTCACATACCAAGAAACAGGTGCCGCATGGGGAAGCTGGCCACCCAAGGTTTCTCTTGAAAACTAGAGAAGGCAGCCTTTATACCCACAGCCCTCCATGTGAGTGAGAGGGTATAGAAGTCAGAATGTGGGAGGGAGATGTTAGACCCAGGATCCTGACCTGGCTTTGTGCGTGAGTCATGTGGTTGCTCTGTGCCTCAGTGTCCCCATCTGGAAAGTGTGGTGGTGATGCCTGGCTAACCAAGGGCTGTCTGTAGGCACAAGTGAAATGGCACATGGGAAAGCATCTTGTAAACTGTAAGGTGCTAGCTGGATGTGCAGTTAGTTCATTGCTGAGCACTTAGTGGCCACCCTCCTGTAAACACCACCTGCGCTCAAAATGGAAGGAAGAACAGTGCAGGTTGGAGCTGTTTTAAAGGTTTTCTCTAGGACTTGGAGCTCATCCAGGGGAGGCAACCATTAGGTTGTGTCCATCCTCTTTTCCCTGTGTCCCTCAGGTGGCTTGCCCACAGTGGGTGTTCAGGAAGGCCTCTCGAATGAGGAAACGTGAAGTATAATGTGTATGGGCATTTGAGGTAGCCTCACTTCTGACAGGGCAGGAGGTCAGCTTCAGGTCCCCAGTCTGCTCTCTGTGTGGCCTTGGACAAGTCACTGAATCTCTCTGAGCCTCAGCATTCTCATTTCTGGAATGGGGGTACCCATCTCCCTACTATTTGTGAAATCGGGGTGGCTATAAAGGGCCATCTTATTATAGAGGCTCTCGGTTTCAGGACTGAAGCCTGGAGCCACTGGCTTGAGGGCAAAGGGCACGGAGAGGCAGCTTTTGACACAGATGTACCAATGCTTCTAGACAACACCCAGGCCAGGGTCTCCTTTTTGCAGAAGGGAAACAGGCTCAGAGATGGATGGAGAGGGGCAGCTCAAGGTCACTCAGAAAGCCAGTGTCTCTGGTCCACATGGTGTGACTTCGCTGCAGGGCAGGTAGTCCTCCAGTTCATTTTAAAAACCAGGTCCAGATTTGCTCATCTTTATACTGGCTCTGGAATAAATTCTACCAGGTTTGGGTGCTGGTGTTTCCTTTACTAGCTGTGTGCCCTTGAGCAAGTGAGGACCTCTGCCAGCCTTGGCTTCCCCTTCTGTAAAATGCAGTTGTGAGGCCTCCACGGTGGTGAGAAGCAATGAGAGCGTGGTGTTCAAGACACCTGCACATGCTCAGCCCGGCAGTAATGCTTTTATGCTGCGTCCCCCATTGGTCTTTGTGGGGATTCCCTGCTGTCAAAGGATCTGGGTCCTCCTGGGCCTGGGTTGGGGTAGGGAGCCATTCACCCCTGCCTGTGCAGCCTTCACCAGGCTCATGGGCCTCAGGGACCCTGGCCTGACACAGCATCATGCCAACTTCTCCCTGGGTCCCTGTCTTACTGGTGTGGGGATGGTGGTGATTGTAGGGCCTCCCTGGCTGGCCTTGTTGGCTCCCTTTGTTCAAAGCTCTGGCCACATTCTTGTCGCTGGTGCCAGTGCCAGGGCCTGATTCCAGATGGCCTCTGCAGGTGGGACTGGGCGCAGCTTCCAGGCCCTGCTTTCCAGGATTGACTGAAGGCAAGTACATTGTGGATGTGGCTGCAGGGCCTGCTTCGGTCCCTCCCTGCCTCCCCTCAGCATCTTAGGGGGAACAGCCAAGAGAGTGGGGCCTCCGGTTGGCTACGCAGGGTCCAGACGTGGCTGTACCTGTGCCCACTCTACTAACACTGGCCTTGTACTCTCAGGAATGCTCTTAGTCTCTGGTCCTCTATTCTAAATGGGGAGGGAACAGTGCTCCCCAGCCAGTGCTTATAGGGGTGCTTCGTCCCCCATCTCCAGTCCAGCCAGGTCCCTGCTTGTGTCCATACATCTGTGTGGGTGTCCGAGTGAGCCCTGATGTGAAGTTGGTTACCTCCATCCCCACCAGAACTTCCCAAGGCCCAGACCCTCTAGGCCTGGTCAGGCTAGCCTTTCTCTGTGTCCACGTCCACGTTTGTTTTCAGACCGGCCCAACCCCAGCAGGCTGCTGCATCTTGCTGATGGGTCACCTCTGCGGCCCCTGCCTGGCACTTGGCACTCATTCAATTACCTCTGTTGCTCCCACAGAAGGTGCGCTGAGCCCTTGCAGGGCAGGGCAGGGCCGGGCAGGGCAGGGCTGCCTCAGCTGGCCCAGGGCTCAGGCTGTGTCTGCTGGTTGAATGAATGGGGCAGAGAATTGGAATAGCATAAGAAGCAGGGGCACTGGGGACCCTGGCTCTCCCCCTGCCTGTTCTGTAGGACCTTGAGCCAGTTACCTAACCTCTCTGAGCCTCAGCTCAGTAGTCGTGGGAATTAAGGAGACCAGAGAAGAGACTGGTAGCTTCCCGACAGAATTAAGAGGCAGTGAAGGGGGGCTGGTGGTGGTAGGGCCACGGGGGAAGTGACTCTGGCCCCTTTCCAGTACTTGATGGGTGTCAGAAGACTTTGACCAACAGCTTGGGTCTCTATCCTAGGGAAGTAGTGTGCATTTAGTCATTGACCTTTGGTGTTTCAGTATCTGCGTGCCTAATAAAGGGACAAACAGTAGTGCTTGCAGGATGGCGAGAGTTCAAGGGGATAAAGGGCTCCTTCTTACCCTCCACCTCCCATTTGGGCACCTCTCCTCCCTCCTCACATCTGTTGAGCTTTGAGTCTTGAAGGTGCTGCTGCAAAGTGTTGTCCTGTCTCTGCCCCTGCCTGAACGGGGCTGTCATCAGCTCTTGTCTGGACAGTGGCATCAGCCTCCTTCTGGCCTCCCTCTCCCACCAAGCCCTCCCATCCTTTCTGATACACTGTGGGTGTCAACAAGTGGGAGGCGGGTGTTGCCACAGAGGGGAGGGGGCATTTGGCAAGATCTGGAGATGTTTTTGGTTGTTTCAACTCCGGGAAGGAGGAATACTACAGGCAGCTAGTGGGTGGGGATCGGGGTGCTGCCAAAGGACAGCCCCCCCCCAGCAAAGGACTGTGGGCCCCAGCTGTCAGGAGTGGGGGGAGGCTGAGAAACTCTATAATAAGGCAGCTATACTTGGCCTCTGGAGTCTCAGGCTAATGTTTAGGATCTTAGCGCAGCATTTGAGACCCTTCTGGCCTCTTGCTTGCACACCTCTTCCACTGTCTTCCCCAGCTTCCTCGAGCTCTAGCTGCACCAGAGGGCAAAATGACTTGCTCGGGGTTCCCAGTTAGGAGATAGGGGAATCAGCATTTGGGCTCCAAAGCCCACGCTCTTAACCACTGCTCTCTCCTGTTCTTGTGCCAGCAGGGGATGGGCATGACCAGCAGACAGGAGGCAGTGCTGGTTCCCCTCTGTGCCACATCCTCACTGTCCCGGAAACGTGTGCAGCTCTACCCAGTGATGAGCGTTAATGTGCCAGAAGCACCGTACAGTTTGCCAAGCATTCTCTCCCATTGGGCGCTGTACTTAGTAATCTATTTCTTGTGTGACTCAAAAATGAAAACACACACAAAACCAAAACACAAAAACATACTAAATGAAAGAAGCCAGTCACAAAAGGTCACATAGTGTATGATTCGGTTTGGATGAAATGTCCAGAATGGGCACCTCCATAGAGACACAAAATACGTTTGTGGCTGCCAGGGCATGGGGGGCTGGGAGATGCAGAGTGACTACTAAGGGGTGCGGGTATTTGGGGGTGGTGAAAGTATTCTAAAATTGACTGTGGTGATGGTTGCACAACCTTGTAAATATACTAAAAAGCACTGAATTGCACATTCTAAAAGAGTAATTATATAGTATGTGAATTGCATCTCAACAGAAGTGTTGGGAAAAATGGCAACATATAACATGGTATCCTGGGAAATGTCCTTCTGGCTTCTCATGTTTCTTTTCAGTGTTTCCTTATGTAGATGCAACCAAACACAGAAACATAGTATTTCCCCACTTTTTTTTTTTAACTGAAAGGAGTGTACAGAATACAGACTATTCTGTACTTTGCTTTTTCACTTCCTGTGTCTTTCAGATCTTTCCACTTCTTCACAGAGAGCTTCCTCATTCTTTTTCTATTGTATTCTGTTTTATTGATGGGCCATTCTTTATTTAACCAGTCCCCAGAGTGATGGGCATTCGGGTCGTTTCCATGCCTTTGCTGTTGCAGACAGCCTGCAGCAGAGCCTCTTCCAGGCCTCCTTTCGCCCTGTGCAGGAGTGTTGAGTATAAACTCCGCAGTGGGAGCTGGGTGGTGTCCTCTTGCCGGGATTTACAGTTCACGCCTGGATCATGTGGGGAGGAGTGCCCGCTGCCCCGCAGCCCAGCCAACAGACAGGCATGCATGTCCCCTCATTGTAGGGCTTTTGCTAGTCGTGGGTGGAAAATGGTCTTTCAGGATAGTTTTAATTTACATTTCTCTTACAAGGAGGTTGAGTATCTTCATGTGAGTGAGCCATTTTTATATTGTTTTTCTCCGTGAAGTGTCTGTTCAAATCTTTTACCCTATTACCTATTACCACTGATGTTGCGTGTATCAGTACTTTGTTCTTTTTTATGGCTGAATACTATTCCACCACACGGGTAGACATATTCTCTTGGGTTCATGCATCCGTTGGTGTGGTGGGCGTTTGGGTTGTCTCCACCTTTTGGTTCTGGTGAATGGTCCTGCTCTGTCGCTCTTGCACTCAGTGTTAAGATGCTGGGAGCCACCCAGTCACTGCAGGAAGCTTTCATTCATTCCTTTTTACTGCCCTATGACATTCCTCATTATGACTGTGTCACCATTCAGCCATTCTTCTCATGATGGGCATGTGGGTCATTTGTTGCTGTGTATGTTTTCTTGTGTCCTTCTGGTGCTTACATTTTTCTGAAGGGCATATGCTCGGGAATGGACTTGGTTGATTAAGGGTTTGTGTGTGTTCAGCTTCACTTGATAAAGGCCAGCCTGGTTTCCAAAGATGTGCCAACTCACACCCTGCCCCCCCTCCCTTTTAATACAAGCTTTTGCTCCACTTGGGTTTCTCCCAGCATGTGGTACGAGCAGTGGTGTCTTCTCAGATGCTGGCCAGTTGTTCCAAGGACATGCATTGCATAGCCTCATCTCTTCCTTTGATTGGAGGTGCTGGCTTTATCCTATCCTAAGTCCTCTGGACTGTCTGTTCTGTTTGTGTGCTAAGACTGCCCTTCTGGAGTTCCTGCAGCTGCAGTCACACCTGGCCCTGAGAAGGACGTGCCTGCCTTTCAGCTTAGCCCCTCGCCCTCCAGCTCAGCCCACCTATCACTGTAGCTGGGGAAACTGAAGCAAGGCATGGTTTGGGTTGGGGTCTTCCTGTGACTCCTTGAGCTGTGCCCACCCCTTTCTCTCCTGTTCAGCCTGACACCCACCTGACCTCACCTCTAGCTAGCTCAGTGGCCCCCACTCTCCGGGATGAGGTTCCCCTTACTGGTCTGTGATCCTTGGGCAGCTGCCCTGTCCCTGTACCCTCTGACCCTCTTTCTGCACTGGCCTGTGGTTCTCTGAATTGGCTGTAGCTCCTCCCCTCCTTCCCCTTGTGCATACTGCAGGGTATGTGCATACTTCCCACCCAGGCTGGGGCCCGTCCTTGTTGGGCCTCTGCTACCTTTCCGGCCTTCCCCAGGGGCACAGAGCCGCTTAGGGGTGGACACTCGAGTTGGCCCCAGCCTGGGCTGTCTGTTCGAGGGTGACCCCTTTGACCCCTTTCCCTGGCTTCCCCCACCCCTGGCAGGTGCAAACATCGCCTCTGGTGAGGAAGTTGCCATCAAGCTTGAGTGTGTGAAAACGAAGCACCCACAGCTGCACATCGAGAGCAAGTTCTACAAGATGATGCAGGGGGGAGGTGAGGGCCCGGGGGCCCCATGCAGTAGGGGTGGGGGGCCCTGGGGCTGTGCCGGGGGCTGGGGAGACCACCCCTAACAGCTCGCATCTCAATACCTGCAGTGGGAATCCCATCCATCAAGTGGTGCGGTGCCGAGGGCGACTACAATGTTATGGTCATGGAGCTGCTGGGGCCCAGCCTGGAGGACCTCTTCAACTTCTGCTCCCGAAAGTTCAGCCTCAAGACGGTGCTGCTCCTGGCCGACCAGATGGTGAGACTTCTACCTCCCCATCCCCGCTGTGGGACTGGGGATCCTGCCGGGCTCGTGGCTTTGCTTCCCAGCTCAGCTTCCCCATCCAGTGGGCACAGGGCACCAACTCTGCCTCTGGGGGATACCAGAGCAGGAAGCAGTGACAGGAACACAGGACAGGCCTGGTTCCTGGGGCAGGGCCAGGAGATCTAGAGTGTGGGTTGTAGATTGGGGACGTTGGGGGTGGGGGGCGCTAAGGAGAGTGTTTAAAATGTAAATTTCCAGACCTGGATTGGGCTCCCAGGGTAAGACCTGAGGACTCTGCACTCAGGTGAGTTCAAAGCATGTGACCACACAGACCTGGTCCTGTTGTACTGTGGTGAACATAGGTGAGCTGCTAAGCCTCTCTGGGTCTCAGTTGCCTCAGGTGAGAGTCTGTCCTTTGCCGGATTGTTTGGGGTCAAGTGGGATGCCATGCTGGGCCTGGACCAGACAGGTGCCACCTGACAAGCAAGCCTTTGGTCCTGAAGCCCTTTATAAACTCAAGGGAGAAAAACTTAAAAATATAAAAGCATAGACTTTTGGACTTGGAATTTTGCATGGAGATCTTATGCAGGGGTCTGGCTCTATGGGCTGGCCTGCAGAAAGTCTGCAAACATCTTGCAGTTTTAGGCTGAATGTGTGTGCAGAGGAGGTTGTCAGATTCTCACAGGATGTGAGACTCAAGGTTTAAGAAGTACCCAGCCATGCCGAGTGAAGCCTTTGGTTTACAGAAGCCTGAGGCCCAGATAGGGGCTTAGTTTTTAACAAATTGTTCAAAGGAAAAGAAAGGACCTGTATTTCGGCCTGCCTTTGGAAACCAGAGGACAGTTCCTGTATTTTGTGTTCTATCTGTCACCCCGCCAAGGTTTGGCTGCTCGGGTGCTCTGTCTCTTCCCTAGTCTGGTTGCCAGAACGGCCTTTAAAATGCCTTTCTGACCGGCCCCTCAAGTTCCGCGCGGGTGTAGAGGCAGGCAGGCATGGCTTCTTCGGGGGCACACATGACTTTCAGGCTTCATTTCTAGATCTTGCCGCTAGCTTTCCTGCCAGGCACTCTTCCCCCATCTCATAGCAGAGTTTGGTGAACTTCTCCTTCAGAATTCTTCTTCACCGTCACTTCCTCTAGGAGACCTTTCCTGACCTGCCCCTTGGAATCATCTTGCTTGGTTGCAGACAGATCTTTCTTCTCCACCCGGAGCAAGGGACTGTGTGTGTGTTTTCCATCTCCGTGGCCCCGTCCCTCAGCCCCTCAGTCCAGGGCCAGTCCAAAGCCCTTGGTGAAGGCCCCTACCTGGAATACTTGCTGAATGACTTGCTGTCCCCTCTCCCAGATCAGCCGCATTGAGTACATCCACTCCAAGAACTTCATACACCGGGATGTCAAGCCTGACAACTTCCTCATGGGGCTTGGGAAGAAGGGCAACCTGGTGTACATCATTGACTTTGGCCTGGCCAAGAAATACCGGGATGCCCGCACCCACCAGCACATCCCCTACCGGGAAAACAAGAACTTGACTGGCACTGCCCGCTATGCCTCCATCAACACCCACCTGGGCATCGGTGAGTGAGTGAGGCCCAGGGCAGAGGGTGCCCGTGGGCTGCTGGCCATGACCATGGCTTTCTTCAGCCTGCCCGCCTTGCTGCAAAGCCAGGTCTTCCCCTTCACAAGAAGAGCTGTGGTGTGCCCAGTGCCTTCTCGTGCCTTTCTTCCTCCCCAGAGCAGCCCTGTAGAGCTGGTGAGGACGTTTTCCCAGTTCTGCAGGGTGGGAAAGGTTGCTTGAGGTCATACAGCTTAGCAAGTACCAAAGGCAGGTTTGACCTTAGTCCTGTCTGGTGCCACAGTTCGTCCCCTGTCCACAGGATGGGCCAGGCAGGGAGGCACCTGGCTTCCTACCACATAGTCGTTCAGTGAATGAGTGCCTGAGCTGGGAAAACAGGTTCTGGATTGAATTGAAAAAGCTCAGCCTTAGGTCCCCTCTGTAGAGAAGTGCCTGTTCATAGCAGGATCGCAGCAAGCCACCATGTGTCAAGGGGGTTCCATGCCGGGGGCACAGGGTGAGTTGTTCAGCAGGTTCTGGAGGAGGGGGTCCTGGTCCCCATCAGCTGGGAGCCTGTGTGGACCCTCCCCCTCACCGTGTCCTTGATTCTGTGCAGAGCAAAGCCGCCGAGATGACCTGGAGAGCCTGGGCTACGTGCTTATGTACTTCAATCTGGGCTCCCTGCCCTGGCAGGGCCTGAAGGCAGCCACCAAGCGCCAGAAGTACGAGCGCATCAGTGAGAAGAAGATGTCGACGCCCATCGAGGTCCTCTGCAAAGGCTACCCCTGTGAGTGGCCCAGTGCATGTGGGATGTGGTTAGCCCTGGAGGCCATTTCTGAGGGGAAGGTGAGGCCACATAGGGCTGTGCTGGGCTACCACTGCCCCGGCACCAGAATATTATTTAGTCTCTGTCGCTGTCGGGTACAGCCAGGAGGCCTGCTGGCTAATCCCAGGTATTCCCCAGCCCACACCCCCACCTCTCTCTATGGGGCTGAGTATCAGGAAAAACTCTAGTCCTTCCTCATCCTCTGAGTTTCCTTTGCTGCTCACACTGGACACTTCACTTTCCCCACCAAATATGCGGGGACTTTTTCCTCACCAAGCAGTTCTCTGTGACAGCCGCGAGGTGTCCTCCAATGTAACCCAGTTCTGACACTGTTTGCCTGCAGTAGCGTCAGAACCCACAGGCCCGGGCTTAGTCCCGCAAGACTCTTCCCACCAATAGCAAGTCCAGGCTGCTACCTGTGCTTCTGACCAGTTGGCTCCCGCGGCCCCCTCCTCAGGTTGGATTAATTTGCTAGAGCAGCTCACAGAATTCAGGGAAACACTTAATTCTTAACTAATTTATTAAAGGATGTGGGTGAGCAGCCAGATGAAAAGGTACATGGGGCGCGGCCCAGGAGGGTCCTGAGTGCAGGAGCTTCTGTCCCTGTGGAATTGGGGTGCCCCACCCTTCTGGTATGGATGTGTTCATCAGCCTGGAAGCTCTCCAAACCCGTGCTCCTGGGATTTTATGGAGGCTTCGTCATGTAGGCACCAGCATCATAACTCTCTTCCCAGCCCCTCTCCCTTCTCTAGAGAAATAGGGGGTAACCAAGCTTCTAGTTATGGTCTGGTCTCCAGCCCCCATCCAGGCACCCACCTCCCTCATTAGAACAAAAAATGCTTCTGGTGCTCCTCCCACTTAGGAATTTTCAAGGGTTTTAGGAGCTCTGTGTCAGAAATGGGGGCCAGAGGGCAATCTGTGTATCTTCTGTTACCTGACACGGGCTCTCGGGCCCCTGCTTTTCAGAGGAGGAAGTGGGAATCTTCTTCCTGTGGCTTAGGTTGTGTCAGGAGTTCCCACCGGGCTCTTGACTGTCCTTTGGATTTATGGCAGCTATCGATCTGCCGTCTCTATGATTCCTAGAATGCTTGACAAGAGCGTGAGCCGGGAGCTAGGGTCCCACGGCGCCGGCTTACTGAAAGGGGGCGCCCGTTTTCTCTTCTCCTTGAGTCTTCAGAGACTCTACTTACTGGTGGGTTAGGGTTTTCCCTCGTAGGGGACTGAAGTTCTGCCCTGTCTGCGGCAGGGACAGTGGGTGGGTAGGACACTGGGTCCGGCTGCTGGGTCCCTGGGAGCATGAACCTCACAATGGCCTCTTCTGTCCCCTGCAACCCCTGCCAGCTGAGTTCTCAACATACCTCAACTTCTGCCGCTCCCTGCGGTTCGACGACAAGCCCGACTACTCCTACCTGCGCCAGCTCTTCCGCAACCTCTTCCACCGGCAAGGCTTCTCCTACGACTATGTCTTCGACTGGAACATGCTCAAATTCGTGAGTCACAAGGAGGCCAAGGCGGGCTTGGGGGACTGGACGGGGAAGGCCCTGACTCATAAAGCCAAAGTGGCCCTGTGGCAGGCGGGGCTCCCAAAAAATGGGAGCTATGAGCTGGACAGCGCAAGCGACCTCAGTGGGGTCCCAGAGCCCCCATGGTGTCCCCACTCCAGCCTCATCAGTGTTGACAGCATGTGCCGCAGCAGTCAGCAGGGCCCAGGCAGGGTGCCGCCTCCCACCAGACCCAGGAGGACCTGGCTGGGCCTCAAGTCCCTTCTGGGTGCTCGCAGCAGAGCGTGGATGGCGCTGGCGGGACCCCCTGCCGTCTTGATCGTAGCCTACACCTCCCTACTCTTGTTGTTCTGCACGTCTCAGGCGGCTGCCTTCACTGCATCCCCTCTGGCCAGCCTGGACCCATTCATTGTGGTTTCCTTTTTCCTGGTCATGGGACCCTGGGTCTTGCTAGGCGGCTGTTCTGTCTCCCTCTTATAAGGGTCTTGGGGGTGGGGTGGGGAGAAGCGTTCATCAGCTGTGCGTGGAACTCCAGAATCTGTGAACTCATATGTCTTGTTTCACATCTCTTCTGGAAAAGGGGGCTTCCTCAAGCCAGGCTCAGCCACGTGACAGCGAAGCTGTTGCACTGCCCTGCCCCTACCCCTGCCCCTGTCTCTGTGCCGGGCCCGTGTACCCACTCACATACTGGTAAGGACCCTCCAAGGCTTGGCCTTTCCAATATTTACCACTTGGCTGGGCAAGCACAAGAGGCTGAGCCTCTGCTGTGCTCTCTGTCCCTTCCAGGTGCCCGGCACCCCTGGGCACCCAGGGTTCTCCAGATAGGCCCATGGAGGAGGTGGAGGAGCTGCTCCCCCAAAACTACTGGCTTGTGGTCTGGACTCCAGGGCCCCAGTTCTGATGTTACCAGGTGTGTTTGAGCCCACTGAGGCCAGGCCTGAGGAGGCATCCCTTGGCAGGTAGGGGTGCCGTGGAGAGGGAGTGGCAGAGAAGCCCCTGCCTCAAGATTCATGAATCAGCTGCCTGATGAACAGAACCTGGAAGAGGGATGCTGTTCAGTGCCCTGGAGGGCCTGGTGGGAATGGGCGCCAGGAGCAGCCTCGGCTAGACCCCGTCGGCAGCCTCTAGTAAACCTGAGCCCATGAAGTGCTCCCACCCGCACCGAGCTCCATCCTGGCATGCCTCTCCTTTCACGCCCTCGGCCTGCTCTGCCGGCTGCTCGGGATGGGGGCCATGTTTTCCTGGATGCTAGAGTCGGCGCTTGGCCTTGGGCCCCTCCTCTCGTGGGTCCCAGACAGTGGCCTGGCATTCCCTAAGAAGCAGGACAGAGGCTGGGCCGAGAACGGGGGTCCGTGGGCCAAGGGACTCAGGGGTTGGGTGGGAGATGCCAGTGGGGCACCTTTCACCCCAGACCCTCCACCTGGGAGCATGGCCAAGGGTCTGGGGCCAGTTCTTCTCACCACAGGGTATTCATTGCTCAGGGTGTCCAGGCCCCGGGCACTCGCTTACCCACGTAAAGCCTTCCTGAGTCCGCTTCTGGAGTCGACCTGGCCCTCCCTCTCACTACAGTGCCAAGAATGGGTCTTGCATTCCAGTATGGCAGCCGTTCGCTCCATGTGGCTGATTTTTAATTAAAGTTAATCTAAGCTGAAAAGAAATCCTTAGTTGCATTCCCCACACTTCAAGTTCTCAGGAGCCACAAGTGGCTGGCTGGTGGCTAAGTAACCCACCAAAGCAGACGTGCATGTTTCCATCAACACGGGGAGTTCTGTGGGACAGTGCGGCTCTAGACGGCTCCCCATAGAGCCTCTCCTGGGACCGTCCAGTCAACAAGGTCTCATCTCAAGCCAGGCCAGGACCACCTTCCCCACCCACGGCTGGTGCTCTGACCCCTTCGTGAAGTTGCCCTTGAAGCAGGGCCTGGAGTCAGAAGCTGAGCAGAGATGCCAGTGGCATATCCTACACCCTTGTCGCTGGAATGGATAAATGTGTGTCTATGATGCCATCACCACTGTGGTGACGTTACCTCCAGCCCTTTCTTGGCAGAAGCATCTGCAGACACAATGGGTACCCTCTGTACCCTTCACCTCCAGGCCAGGCCCCTCCCACACCATCCTGCCCTGCAGGAAGCCTTCACCAGTACCTCCCAGCTGACCAGACACCGTGTTAGACACTGGGTTATACATTCTCTCATGGGAAGGATCGGACCCTTGACCGAGAGCTTCTCTTCTTGGAGTGGCCACCGCATATCACTCAGCATCAGGGCCCTGGAGCCTGGGACACTGTCAGCACGCAGAGCAACTGTGTTCTGAGGGCCAAGCAGCCGGCCAGGAGGAAACCCAACACAGCCAGGGAGAGGGGCCCACACGATGCGGGGGAATGCTTCTGTGACTTGGATATTGACCTTTTGTGTTTTCTCATGGGCAAATAAAAGCCAAGAAACCTCCTTGGTGTGCGTTTCTTGAGGCACCACTGGTTGGACAAAAATGGGGAGAGGAGCTTGCCTCCTCCTGCCCTGGGGCTGGCATTGACCTGAGCCTGCTGGGATCACAAAGGCAGGAGCTCCAGCCTTCTGCCCAGCTGCTGGCTCTAGGGGGAGTCCTTAGCTTCACTGAGCCTCCATTCCCCCAACCCAGGAATGAGCTTGTACCTGCTCTGCCGGGCTGATGCAGCCTCTGCCCATCGGCGGTTTAGTGGGTGGGCGCTGCAGCACTTAACGCTCAGGTTTTGCTGTGGTTCTGGCTGAGTTGCTCTCTGCCAGACTGTGACTCTGGGCAGGAACCCAGCAGGAGGATTGGAGGTCAGCAGGTGAGCCTTGGTGGCTCAGGGCTGCCTGGACAGGTCTCTGGGTGGGAGGGCTAGGGATGCACACCCCTAAAATACTCTGCTAAGTCCTCTGGGGATGCAGAGAGCAGAGCAGGACTGGGTGGCAGAGGCCTGGGTTCACACCCAGCTCTGCCCCGAGCTGTGTGACCCTAGGCAGGTCAAGAGGGCCTCTGGACCCTGGTTCCTCGCTACCTCATAGAGTTGCTTGAAGACAAGGACAACCCCCACCATTTCCCAAGGACAGCAGGGCTTTCTTGGCCAGTTCCCTGGGAGAGACGCAGGTTGCAGGAATTCGCACCCTGTGGCCCATGAGGCAGCCCCAACTCAGCCTGCAGCTCTCTCCTCTACAGATGCGGCCCCCCTCATGCCAGCCCCCTGCCCTTCCCTGTGGACGACCCCAGGACCAACTAGGTAATGCGGCTGGGCACCGCTCCCACACCATGCTCTCTCTCTGGGACTTTCTCTTTTCCTCCTGCACTGGGGGTGGCAGTGGCTGGAGGGCAGGCCCAGGGGCTCACATACCCCTTCTGCCCCAGCCTGCCTGCGGAGCTCTTCTTTCTCCATGGTGCATCTAGCTCGATCCTTCTCAAGCTCCTCTGTGGGGCATCTACTGCATTCCTTCTTAAGTTCCCCCAAAGTATCTATTTTGTCCCAAGGCAGGCAGCATCTGTGTGGGTCCTTGGGCCTCCTGGTTGTGGCCCCCACAGCACCTACCAGAAGCCATTGTGAGGTCCAGGGGCAGGGGAAGAACAGCCCTTTGAAAAGGTCCCCCGGATTGGCACTGGGAGACCTAGTTCAAGGCCTGGCTCTGCCTTCAGCTAGCCTTGTAACGCCCTTTCTGGGCCTCTCAACTCCTGCCCTGCTCTGTTTGGAAACAGCAGCCAAGGGCTGTGTACACAGAGGGGCCCCAGGTCGGGAAGGCCAAGGAGTGCCCTGGGTCAGCGTCGGGCCATCAGCCCTCCCAGCTGTGGCTCCAGCCCCATGACCAGGGCAGTGACCTCCCTCTGCCTCTGAGAGCCACTTCTCCTTCAGGGCAGTTGGGTGGCTTTGTTTCTCTGTGCTGCGTGATTGCGGGTCATTTCCAGGCCTCTTGGGTGCCCTGCTTTGCGGGGAAGAGGTTGGACTGAGGGGTTCTGAGATGCCTCTTCCCCAGGATGCCTGCCTGGCCTCCCTCCCCTGCTCTGCTCTGCGGGAGTGCCGGATCCGGAGTACCCTGATCTCAAGGGGCTGACCGAGTCTCCTTTTTCATCCCCCCAGGGTGCAGCCCGGAACCCCGAGGACGTGGACCGGGAGAGGCGGGAGCACGAGCGCGAAGAGAGGATGGGGCAGCTCCGGGGGTCTGCAACCCGGGCTCTGCCCCCTGGCCCACCCACAGGGGCCACTGCCAACCGGCTCCGCAGTGCTGCCGAGCCTGTGGCTTCCACGCCAGCCTCCCGCCTCCAGCAAACTGGTGAGCAGGGCCTCTAGGTGGGGGCCGGGCCCAGGGGTGGGGGCAACAGAGCCCTGGACACTAAGGGTGGCTTCCCCTACCCCTCCAGGCAATACTTCTCCCAGAGCGATCTCACGGGTAGACAGAGAGAGGAAGGTGAGCATGAGGCTACACAGGGGCGCGCCCGCCAATGTCTCGTCCTCCGACCTCACTGGGCGGCAAGAGGTCTCCCGGATTGCAGCCTCACAGGTGAGCCGCCCACCCTCCGGCCTTCTGTGCCTCGCAGCTGAGCCTGAGACCCCAGGCCTGGAGCCGGGGCTGGTGCTTCTCTCTGCTGCCTGTCTAGTAGCTGTTGAGTGGGGACCGGGCCTCATCTAAGGGTCTGAGGTCTGCTTAGCTGCACTGAACAAGGTCCGAAACAAGCTGGGGGGAGTAGCTTGCCCCAGAAGACGATAGAGCTGGGGTCCAGCCCTTGCTGTGGGGGCCTGACCTGGGTGGGCAGCAGGGATCTCACAGGAGGGGGTCCCTGTGCCTGCCATCAGGAAGCCACCTGCACGCCTGGTAAGCACAGGATTGATGGGTGGTAGGTCCTGTCTGGTGGCCCCACTTAGTGGCCTTGTTTGGACTAGGAAAGTAGGGAAGGGAGAGTCCTTGGTTGCCCAGGGGAGCTGTCTTGGCACAGGCGGAGGTGGGAGACCTGTTGTGTACAGGCCATGTGCTGGGAGCTGGCTGCCCAGCTGTGTGTGGCCTGGAGCAGCTGCCCTGCCTCCCTGGGCCATGTTCTTACCTGCACAGCCACCAAGTCCCAGGGTCGCTGCGACCACACCCGTCTTCCCTTGGCTCAGGGGGCTTGGCGGCAGCAGGTGTGGAGCCCCACAGTGGGGAGAGACTTGGCAAATGGCCGTTGCCTGCAGCTCATCTCCGCCCCCCTTCTCTGCCTTCCCTCCCACAGACAAGCGTGCCATTTGACCACCTCGGAAAGTGAGGAGCCGCTGCCATTGGACCAGTGTTTGCTCAGGTGAGTCTGTGTGCTGCAGGTACGGCCCAGCCGGCTCTCAGAGTCCCCAGGGCCCCAGGAGGAAACCAGCATTGTGGAAGACGGTACTGGGGACCCCAGAACCAAGGGCCCTCAAGGGGGTTTGAAACCTTAGAGTCTGCCCCACTCGGGCTCTGAGTAGGCCTGGCCCGTACCAGCCCATTTCTGCACACCAGCAGAGACTTCTTTGCCTTCTCTGCCCTCAGGCCAGTCCTCCATCCCCTCTTTGCCTTGACATCTCCTGGAAGGTTAGTTTCCAATAGAGACTGAGCCCAGGGGCCCCCCACCCTGACCGTCCCTTAACTGCACTTAATTCAAGCAAAGCACTTAGAACAGGAGTTTATCTGCTGTCTGAGAAGACCCTGGGTGGCCTCCACAAGCCCAGGAGAGGCCCTCTAGTCAGTGGGACTTCTGGCTGCATGAGGCCTTGAGGCAGAGCAGCTCACTGCCCGGGCCTGGCTTTGGGGAGGGGAGGTGGCAGGGGCTCTGTGAGGGGGTGTGTGAGGAGAAGTCTGAGCTTCCCCAGGATGTGTACATGGCAGGCAGAGGTTGACCCGTTAGGGGGCTCTGCCAGCATGGCCACACACCAGGGCACCCTGAGCAGGATTTGCCTCGCAGAAATTCATGCCGCAGATAGAGCGGGGACGTAAAGCAGGGCTTACCTCCATCAGCTCTCAGGGCCTGGAAGCAGGCCCTCCACGGCAGGGTGGGGCAGGTGTGAGTGGCTCTCCAATGGGACAGAGGAACGAGAGAGAGTGTATCCTTTCCGTGAAAGTGGAGCACCTACTGTGTGCCCCAGAGAGGGACTAGCTCAGAGCCTCAGGGCAAGATCACAAGCCGACGGTGGTCTGGTGGTTGGGTGGCCAGCGGCGGATGTGCCCTCATCTGTCTGATCTGTCTTCTCTCTGCCTCTTTCTAGTGTCTTCACTGTATTTTCTTTCATCAAACAACAACAACAAAAAAAGATGGGGGAAAAAACCACTCGAAAGAACACAAAGAGAAAAACCCAGCATAAAACTGACGATGGATTTTGTTTCTTTGACTTTTTTTTTGCCAATGGCAAGAAGATGGGATGCCCTCAGCACAGAAGATCCTTGTCCCTTCGATTTCCCACTGCCCACAACCTTCAGGCTGCCAGACGCTCCCCAAACACCAGCTACGTGCACCAGATGCCGAGGCCCCACCCCAGGCCACTCCGACGGGAGCATCTCTGTGCTGGAGGTGCAGCCAGTCCCCGAGTGCCCTCCGGAGGGGCCTGAGGAGCTGGGGAAATGGTTTGGTTGGTCTGAGGCAGGTCCTGGGCGCTTTGAGTCTTGGGACCACAGGATATGCGCACAGCCCCTACCCTGCTGAGGTGATTGTGGCCACCTTTCTGTGTTGGGCTTTTTCCATTGTCCCCAGATCATTTGGGTCCCTTCTTTGCCTCTCCACAAAGACCTTGAGGCGTGGGCGGCAGTGTGAGAATGGAGACCCCTGTGTGCGTGTGTGTATGCGCCTGATCTGTATGTGCCAGGACAGCAGGTGCTCTGCCCCACCTGCGAGGCTGACTTTCTGTTCTCCCCCCCCTAACAAGGACACGGGGTGGGCAGCGACTTCTACATCCCTCAGGAAGGGCGCAGAGGGTCCCCACCACCACCCACCCCTGAGAGTCTCATCAGCCTGTGGCAGCCTCATGCCCCTTTCCTGGTCTTAGGGCAGAATCCTTCCAGAAAGCATCTGGTTCCTGGGTTATAAATTAATTTCCTGGTTCTGACACTTACCTGGGGTCCTACCCTCCCCGCGTTCTGCCTCTGAGGAGGAGCCTGCAGTCAGGGCTGGGCACCGGATTTATCCATCCATCCCTCGTTAACACCCATTTTTACTTTATTTTTGTTTGTTTTCTCCGTGTGTGTATTTCCTAATTTATTTACCTGTTTCCTTTTTCTTTCTTTTTCTTTTTTTTTTAATTAAAGAGCAAAGCTTTTTATTACTTTGTAATTTAAAAAACTGAAAAAAAATTACTGAAGAACTTTGGGGGGAATTTTGTACTTTTTTCCTGTGTAAATATTGGACTTTTTTGAGCTTTATTGTGGTTGTTAATTTGAAGTAATAAAGTAGAAAAGGATAAAGTCACATGGGCAGGCCTCGGTCCACCTCTTTGCTCTGGAGGTGTCCCGCCAGCAGACCTGGGAATGGGTATGGCTGGCGAGGCAGGGGAGGCATGCCCAGTGGCTGGCACCTCCCTGGCTGCTTGAGAAACTACATACAAGCCACCTGGGGCCTCGTTAAAACGCAGGGCTGACTTTATGCGAGCTGACAGACTTGTGAGGGCTGGGGTGGGGCCTGAGTCGGCACCCCAGCACACTAGGCAGTGCCCAGCGGCCAGGCCACCCTACTGAATGGGAAAGTTCAAAACTGTAGTATTGTCTACGCGAGAATTCTGAGTTAGGGCCTGCTGGTCTCTCTGCCTGCAGATGGAGAGAGAGCACAGAGCCCAAAGAATTTGCGCAAGGTCACACAGACAGCTGTCTGGCGGCAGAACCAGGATTTGAACCCACCATTGGTCTTGGAGCCCTGCGAAGGTACTGGAGTCAGGTTCCAATCCCACAGGTGACCTGGGCAGTTCCTTCAGTCCAGCCTCCATAAAGGAGCAGCCCTCAGCCTTGCTTGCCTGCTTTTGTCACACTGGCTTATAAAAGAATGTGTCTGTCAGTCTGTAGTCACCCAACACAGTTCCTACTTGTTAACCCAAGGCTCTGGAGCCACTGTTGCCACAATCTCCACCCACAGACTAGAGGGACCTGACTGAAAGGTCAGCCTAGAGGGGGCGGAGAGCTCTGAGGTTCTCCTGGGGCCTTCTGAAATCCCAGGCATAGCTCCAAGACCCCACAACTA